GATGTGGGGACAAGGACACTCTATGGCCGTGTTGGCGCTCTCTGTGGTGCAGAGGCCACATGGCCACCTGTCTCAGAGCAGTGCAGACACAGTGAGGATGACTAGATCTTTCTACATTGCTCAACTGTTCATCTGACAATATTCAATGCGTAGCACACTTGGAAGCCTGTCTCGGTGATGTCACCTGATTAAGCAGTCATTGTCTCCCCAGCCACACCTGGCCCTGGGAGGTAGTAAAGACCAAGAGAGCCGGGCTCAGTGGCTCAGCCTATTAATCCCAGCACTTTGGAAGGCCGAGGCAAGTGGATTGCCTGAGCCCACGGGTTCAAGACCCACCCAGGCAACTTGGTGAGACCTCGTCTCTACAATAAATAAAAAATTAGCCAGGCACAATAGTGCGCGCCTGTAGTTACGGCTACTTGGAAGGCTGAGACGGGAGGATCTCCTGAGCCCAGCAGGTCGAGGCTGCAGTGGCTGGGAGTGTGCTACTGCACTCCAGTCCGGGTGATAGAGTGAGACTCCAACTCAAAAGAAAAAAATAAAAGACCAAGAGGTCAGCTCTGAGCCTGGGTGTGCTGGACACAGCCTGTGTCCACTGGCATGAGATGGCTGCAGAAACGTAAGGCTTACCTGGGATCCATCCTGGTGTTGGAGGCCAGGCCTCCTGCGTTCTGTGGGTGTCCATTGGGGCCTGGCTAGAGTGGAATATCTGCCACAAAACATGTCTCACCCTGTGGCTGTGTGTCATTGTCCCCTTTTCCGTGGCCTGGCAGTTTTAGTCTGTTTTGCTGTTTGATGACTTTTCTCTTTTCCCCCTTTAAAACCATGTCAGCCTTTTGTCCCTCCACTTCTTGTGTTCCTTTTTGGTTCAGAAAACGTCTGGCACAGGCACAGACTGGGTGCCTGGGACGTGCAGCCCACGTGTAAGTTTTGGCATCCGCTGTGTGGAGGGCACAACTGTATGTACTCAGAAGGGGACACAGAAGTCTGAAATGGGGTCTGCCCTCCAAGTTTTCACAGATTTGAAACTTTAACACTCTGGGCAAAAGCAGTTTTGGAGCTGAAAATTTGTAGCTATTTTAAGGAAACAACTTCCCGCCTCCAAGAGAAACCATAGTACTATTTTCTTAAATGTTTTTATGTATAGTCATTCTGCTACTTTAAAAAAATATGTATTAGATTTAACTTGACTTTTGTGTGTATGTTTGGCATTTTTGACATATAAGACCAAAAAGTGGAAATATTTTCATTTCTGCAGTTTGGGAGGGGACAGAGCCTGAGGGGACATGAGTGAGCTGCGAGGAGACTATATTTTCATGAAAACTTTAGTAAATTTTCTGGGTTTTTGTCCCATCTTTGGAGAAGACCTAGGATACAAAAGTGTTGCAGGTTAATTTTGATTTATGAATTAAATCACCAAAATACTGCTGAGAGAAAGCAGAGGCCTCAATAAACGTTGAGAGAGATCACGTTTATGGGTAAGATGACTCTATTATTAAGACATCACCAAACTGATATGTAGATTCAATGCAATCTCCATCAAAATTTGCTGGAATTGATCAGCTGACTGAAATTCATATGGAGATGGAAAGAACCTAGAGCCATCAAAACAACATTGAAAATGGAGTACAAAGTTAAGGCTTGACACTGCCTAAGATCGTTATAAAGCTATGGTAAACCAAGACAGTGTGGCACTGGTGTCAAGATCACCACATGGACCGATCAGAATAGAGCACTCAAAAATAAACCCACACGGAAGTTCACACTGAGTTTTGACAAAGGGGCAAAGGCAGGTCAGTTTTTCCTGGACAGATCGCCGTATTTGGAACAACTGGATCATCAGAGAGAGAGAAAAAAAAATGTCATATATGAAATTAACTGAAAATGGGCCATAAACTAAATGTATGACCTAAAAGCATACTTCTAGAAAGGAGAACACCTTCAATTTGGCAAAAATATTTTAGACACAACACCAAAAGCATGATCCATAGAAAACACGTTGATAGTAGAGCTTCTTTGACCTGGAAACTTCTGTTCTTCAAAAGACACTGTTCTGAGAATGAAAAGGTGAGTGACACACTGGGGATAAAAACGTATAAACCAATTATTCCATAAAAGACTGGGACGCAGAACTCTCAAAACTCAATAGTAAGAAAACCAGTTATTAAAAATGGGTGAGCAATTTGAACAGACTTTTTAACAAAGAAGAGACACAGATGGCAATGAGCACAGGAAGAGACAGACATTTGGCATCAGTAGTCACCAGAGTAGTGCAGGTGACAGCCGTGAGAGATTGCAGGGGACAGCTGTGAGAGATACCCCTAAGACCCACGAGAACTGCTCAGCTAGAAGGTGACCCTCCCACGTGATGGTGAGGATGTGGAGGGACTGGGGCACTCGTACACACTATGGGGTGTGTAAGATGGCACAGCCACTCGGGAGATTATTGATCTTGCGGTTTCTAAAAAACTGAAGTGTACGCCTACTGTATGATCCAGCCATTCCACTCCTGGATATTTATAAAAACAAATCCACACAAACGTGTACACACATATTAGGGCAGCTTTGTCTGTAATAGCCACAAGCTCAGAACAACCCACACGTCCCTCAGCAGGTGAATGCACATGTGTGGTGTGGTCTACACAATAGAACACGGTTCCACAACATGGGGCTATGAATTATTAATGTGTGTTATGAGTGGATGAGTCTTGCCGAGTGAAAGCTGTATTTAAGCTCACACACCCCTACATGCTGAGTGATTACATTCATAGAAAATTCTAGAAAATGCAAACTAAAGTACAGTGACAGAAAAGTCAGGGTTTCCTGGGGCTGGGGTTGTGGCAGAATGAAAGGATGGGCTAAAAGGGGGCACAGGGGAATTTTGGGGGGTGCTGGCTATGGTGCGTTGTCTCGGTTGTGATTTCATGGCATCTGCAGATGTCAAAATGTGTCAAGTTTTACACTTTAAAAAGTGTATTTTAGCCGGGCTTGGTGGCTCAGCCTGTAATCCCGTGCCTTTGGGAAGCTGAGGTGAGTGGATTGCCTGAGCCCGCGGGTTCGGGACCCGCCTGGGCAGCGAGACCTCATCTCTACAATAAATCAAAAATCAGCCGGGCGTGGTAACGCGTGCCTGTAATTCCGGCTACTCGGAAGGCGGAGGCGGAAGGATCGCCGGAGCCCAGCAGGTCGAGGCTGCGGTGGCCGGGAGTGGCCACTGCACTCCAGTCTGGGCGACCGAGTGAGACTCCAACTCAAAATAAATAAATAAATAAAAATAAATTAAAAGTGTATTTTATTCTATATCAGTATTTCAGGGATCCTGAGACCACCATGTTTGGTGACTTACCAGGACCAACAACACTCAGCATCTAGTTGCACTCATGGCCAAGATGCATGCTGGGTGCAGTAACACCACCAGGGTGGGTCATGAAGAAGCAGCCTTCACCCAGGGTCCAGGAGCCATATGCCTACTTCCGTGTCCTCCCCCTTCCCTGAGGGATCCCGAGCACACCTTCCCTCCAGCAGCGACGGTGTGGCTACAGGTGTACATATTCGTGCCCAGGGAACCCCACTGGAGACTTGGAGTTGAGGGTGTGATTGGGGACAGGCCACACAGGTGCCCCTTGCCCACCCGGAAGGAAAGTTGCTATTATGCCCAGGCAGGCAGAGCTGCCTTATCCATGGGGATGCTTCAAGAGCCGTGTTCCTGGCCACCAGGGCCATGAGTGAGCCGAGCCTCTGCAAGCAGCAGGCTCGGGCCTAGGATCTGACACACTTCACAGAGCTCTGAGAAATCGCCATCCAAGTTGGTACAAGCTCACATGGGACCATTGTGACTAACGTATTGAAAAGGGGGCAGAGAGGATAAAGGTCTAATCATTTGAAGTCTAAGGACACCCACGCAGTGAGGCTCCTTCCCTGCACAGGTCACACTCTCACATCCCCTTTTTGGAGCAGGGAGGGATCGTGAGAAGTAGAATCAGGATGCTGGACTACTGGAAGCTTCCAGGGACATTTACTCTCTAATAGTGACTTTGGCTTCAGCTGTACTTGAAAATCCTTCCGGGGGGTGTCAGTTTTCTTCCTGTCTTGAACATTCCTTGACTGGTGATCATTCTCTAGTGGGTGATCACAACCCAGTCCAGATCTCTAGCAGATAAAATGTAAAGTATTGGCACTGGACGCAAGGCACTTCTCGCAGCTGTGGCTTCTGTCCCTGTCCCTGTCCACCCAGCTGGGAGGGTGCCTGGAAGCCAGCTGGCTGTGCTGGCTAGCCATGGCCCATGGTGTGCGTCTGTCTGAGGGGCCCCTTCTGGGCTGCACTGAGAGACCCCTGGCTGCTCACACCCCTGGAAGGCGATTCCTCAAGACTGCCTGGTGCCTGTGAGCTTCCATGTGGGCACGCCATTCCCTGGAGGAAACCCAGCAGGTGGCTTGGGTGCGGCTATGTCCCCCGATCCCATGTGTGCCAAGGATATGTGGTGCCGTCTGCCCTGTGGCCTGCTCCTCTCTGCATGGTCACCCTGGAAAGGCAGGCATCTTTTAGGGCATGGGCTGTGTCATACCAGAAGGTGCCTAGGGTCTGTTCTGTATCTGGATCCTGTTGTTAATGTCCTGGTCATGATCTCCCTGTATCAACAGCAAGACAACACTCAGAGAAGGGGCCTTCCCCAGCCTGTTCTGAGGGATGTTTCCTAAAGAGGAAATAACCCTTCACGCTTGGCCGAACGCAAGTGTTGTTCAGAGACCCCCCATTGGAAACAATCAGAAATCGCCCGGCAGTTACAGCTTCCTAAGTGGTGTCTGGGCATCGACACCCCTTATTTCCCTCACCTCCCAGCTGCCAGCTGTTGATGGTGGTGGCCCTGCACGGTCCCATGCCCCGGATGGGGTGGCGCCTGTCCCTGGGAGGGCTGTGCACGGGCCCTTCGACTTGCCGCCCACATTCCTCTCCCTGCCCTTCCGAAGGGCACTGACACCCGTCGCTTGTCCCCTCGCAGATGCGGACTACGCGCAAGGTCGCCGTGTGGCCGGTGGGCCTGGTCGGCGGGCGGCGCTACGAGCGCCCCCTGGTGGAGAACGGCAAGGTGGTCGGCTGGTACACCGGCTGGAGAGCAGACAGGCCCTTCGCCATCGACATGGCAGGTGAGGAGCCCCGCCTGTGGGTTGCCCGCAGGTGCCCACGAGGGCCGGCCTGGCCAAGCCCGAGGCTGCAGCCGGCAGGGGAAATGCCCAGCACACCTTCAGAGTAGGCTGCGGGTGATCCACGTGGAACGCGATCTGAGGGGTGACGGGAAAAGGCCGGTCTGTGCCACTTCATCACCTGTTTGTCCCTTTATCTGACAGACAAGTGTGTGCAGGCACCGGACTGGTGAGGGGATTCGGAGCTGAGAGCTGGCTGGCCCTTCCCTGGGAGATGATGGCCAGGTCACGGGGGCCTGTTGGTGGGACCCCTTTGGTTCCCCTCTCTAGAAGACTCATATTGTAAAACAGATCACACGTTTATCAGTAAATGGAAAAATAAGCCATTTCGTGTTTACTGATGACCTTAGTGCTTCATTGATACATTTCGTAGCTGAAATATGAAATTGGATTCCTGGGTTTTAAGCACTTGTGAACTTTGAGTATGGTTGTCTTTTTACAAAATTTTATTTTTTAAAAAAAATCTCATTAGCTTTGAATAGTTTTTGGTTTGGGTTTTATGTATGCCCACCCCACCCCGCAACCTATGCACACTGCACTCGATAGGTGATTTTTCTTTTGTCCCTCTACCTCTTCCCTGTTCCGGGTCTCCAGTGTCCATTATACCATTCTCCATGTCTTTGCATATTCTTAGTTTAGCTCCTACTTACAAGTAAAAGCATGCACTGTTGTTGGTTTTTTCTGTTTCTGAGTTAGTTCACTTATAATGATGTTCTCCAATTCCATCCAAGTTGCTGCAAAAGACATTATTTCATTCTTTTTGAGAGCTTAGCAGTATTCCATAGTGTATAAATACCACATTTTCATTATCCACTGATTTGTTGCCGAGCATTTAGATTGATTCCACATCTTTGCTATTGTGAATTCTGCCACAGCGAACATGTGAGTGCAGGTGTCCTTTTCATACGACAATCTCTGTCTTTTTAGGTAGATGCCTAGAAGTGGGACTGCTGAATCAAATGGCAGATCTACTTTTAGTTTCTCGAGAAATCTCCATACCTCTTTCCATAGAGGTTGCACTAATTTACACTCCCACCAACAGTTTATAAACGTTCCCTTTTCTCTGCATCTGCACCAGCATCTATTGTTTTTTTATTTTTTTAATGATGGCCATTCTGACTGGTATAAGGTGTTATCTTGCTGTGGTTCTAATTTGCATTTCCCTGATTATGAATGATGTTGAGCATTTTTTCATGTTTGTTGGTCATTTGTATATCTTCTTTTGAGAAATGTCTGTTCATGTCATTTGGTCACTTTTTAGTGGTGTTATTTACCTTTTTTCTTGCTGATTTGTTTGAATTCTTTGTAGATTCTAGATATTAGTCCTTGAGAATATTTTCTCCCATACTATAGGTTGACCATTTGCTCTGTTGATTATTTCTTTTGCTGTGCAGAAGTTTTTTAGTTTAACTAAGTCTCACTTTTTTTTGTTTTTGTTGTATTTGCTTTTGGGATTTCAGCCATACATTCTTTGCCTTGGCCAATGTCCAGAAGAGTTTTCCTAGGATTTCTTCTAGGATTTTATGGTTTCAGGTCTGACATTTAAGTCTTTAATTCATCTTGAGTTAATTTTTGTATATGGAGAAAGATAGGAATCAGGTTTCATCTTTCTGCATGTAGCTACCCAATTGTCCCAGCACCATTTGTTGAATAGGGTGTCCTTTCCCCAGTGTATGTTTTTGTCTGCTTTTTAAAAGATCAGTTGATTGTAGGTATTTGGATTTATTTCTGAGTTTTCTATTATTTATTTATTTAGTATTATTTATTATTTATTTCTGGATTTTCTATTCTGTTCCATTGGTCCATGTGTCCGCTCCTGTACTGTCTGCTGTTTTAGTTACTACAGCCTAATATTATAATTTGAAGTCAAGTAATGTGATGCCTCCAGCTGTGTTCATTTTGCTTAGGATTGCTTTGGCTATTCTGGCTTTTTTTTTGTTCCCATTTGAATTTTAGGATTGTTTTTTCTAACTGTGAAAAATGACATTGGTAGTTTGATAAGGATTGCACTGAATCTGCAGACTACTTTGAGTAATATGGCCATTTTAATAATATTGATTCTTCCAACCCAAGAGCATGGTATGTTTCTCCATTTATTTATGTCATCTGCAGTTGCTGTCATCAGAGTTTTGTAGCTCTCTGTGTAAAGATCTTTTATTTCCTTGGTTAAATACATTCCTAGGTATTTTAGCTTTTTGGCTGCTATTGTAAATGTTTGTTTGTTTGTTTTTGAGTGGGAGTCTCACTCTGTCACCCAGACTGGAGTGCAGTGGCCGCTCCTGGCCACTGCAGCCTCGACCTGCTGGGCTCCGGCGATCCTTCCACCTCAGCCTTCCAAGTAGCTGGAACTACAGGCATGCACTACCACGCCCGGTTACTTTTTTGATTTATTGTTGAGACGAGGTCTCGCCAAGTTGCCCAGGCGGGTCTCGAACTCGCTGGCTCAGGCAATCCACTCACCTCAGCCTCCCAAAGCATGGGATTACAGGCTGAGCCACCAAGCCCGGCTTGTAAATGGAACTGAGTTATTGATTTGATTCTCAGGTTGGTCGCTATTGGTTTATAGCAGTGCTACTGATTTGTGTGTGTTGATTTTGTATCCTGAAACTGTACCAAATTCATGTATCAAGTCCAGGAGTCTTTTGGATCCTCTAGGTAAAATATTGTATAGTTGGCATACAGAGATAGATCGGTTTCTTCTTTTCCAATTTGGATACGCCCTTTTTTTTGTCTTGTCTGATTGGTCTAGCTAGGACTTCTAGTACTATATTGAGTAAGAATGGTGAAAGTGGGCATCCTTGCCTTGTTCCAGTTCTGAGGGGAAATGTGTTCAACTTTTCTCTATTCAGGATGATTGACATTGATGATGCGTTTATCATATATAGCTTTTATTATTTTGAGGAATGTTCCATCTATGCCTATTTTGCTGGGGGTTTTTATCATGAAGGGATGCAGAATTTTATCAAATGTTTTTTCTGCATTTATTGAAATAATCTTTTTTTTTTTCATTCTGTTTATGTAGTAAGTCATGTTTATTGACTTGTGTATGCTGAACCACACTTGCATTCCACTTGGTCACCGTGTATTCTTTTTCCATGTCCTGTTGAATTTGGTTTGTTGATATTTTGTTGAAGATGCTCGTGTCTGTGTTCATAGAGGATATTGGTCTGTAGTTTTCTTTGTTGTTGTTGTATCTTTTCCTGGCTTTGGTGTTAGAGTGATACTGGCCTCATAGAATGAGTTAGGGAGGATTTCCTCCTCTTCAATCTTGTGGAATAGCTTCAGTAAAAGTGGTATTAGTTTTTCTTTGAAGGTCTGGTAGAATTAGCTATTAATCCATTGGGTCCTGGGCTTCTTGTTGTTGTTGGGAGACTTCTAATTACTGTTTCAATCTCTCTATTCATTGTTGGTTTATTCAGGGTTTTTATTTCTTCCTGATTCAAGGTTTGGGGGTTGTGTGTTTCCAAGAATTTATTTCTTTCCTCTAGATTGTCAAGTTTGTTTCCATTGTATCAATTGTCATATCTCCATTTTCATTTCTGATGGAGCTATTTTGAATCTTCTCTCTTTATTTCTTAATTAATCGAGCTAGTGGTCTATCAATTGATTGTTTGTATTTTTTTAAATTTCAGTTTCATTTAGTTCTGCTCTGATCTTTATTATTTCTTTTCTTCTGCTAGCTTTGGGTTTGGTTTGTTCGTGTTTTTCTAGTTCTTTGAGATGTGATGTTAGGTTGTCAATATGTGATCTTTCAGTCTCATTAATGTTGGCCTTAAGTCCTATAAATTTTTTTCTGAGCATAGTTTTGGCTACAGATTTTAATAACTTTTGTTCTCATTCATTTTGAGAAATTTTTTAATTTCCAACTTTAGTGACCCAAAGATCATTCAGGAGTAGATTGCTTAACTTCCATGTTTTTGTTTGTTTTCCTGAGTTCTTCTTGGAGTTAATTTCTAGTTTTTTTCCACTGTGGTCTGAGAAGGTGCTTGACATGATTTTGATTTTTTAAAAATTTATTGAAACTTGATTTGTGGCCTATCATATAGTCTGTCTTGGAGAATGTTCCATGTGCTGATGAGAAAAATGTATATTCCATAGTTTGGGGCTGGAATGTTCTCTAGAAATATGTTAGTTCCATTTGCTGTAAAGTCTGGTTTATTTCAATGTTTCTTTTTTTTTTTTTTTTTGAATTGGAGTCTCATTTTGTCGCCCAGACTGGAGTGCAGTGGCCGCTCCCGGCTACTGCAGCCTCGACCTGCTGGGCTCCAGCAATCCTTCCGCCTCAGCCTTCCGAGTAGCTGGAATTACAGGCATGCGCTACCATGCCCGGCTGATTTTTTGATTTATTGTAGAGATGAGGTCTCGCTGCCCAGGCGGGTCTTGAACCCGCGGGCTCAGGCAATCCACTCACCTCAGCCTCCCAAAGGCGCAGGATTACAGGCTGAGCCACTGAGCCCAGCTTCAATGTTTCTTTTTAACTTTCTGCCTTGATGATCTGTCTATTGCTATCAGTGGGGTATTGAAGTTTCCTACTATTACTGTATTGCTGTCTCTTTTTTTAGGTCAAGTAGAATTTAAATATATTTAAAATTGTTATGTTTTCTCATTAGACTAATCCCTTTAGCATTATATAATAACCATCTTTGTCTTTTTTTACTGTTGTTAACTTAAAGTCTGTTTTATCTGATATAAGAATGGCTGCCCCTGCTTGTTTTTAGTTACCGTTTGCAAGGAATGTTTTCCCTACCCCTTTTCCTTGAGTCTATAGGAGTCTTTGTGAGCTAGCAAGGCAAGTCTCCTGAAGGCAGCAGATACTTGGGTTGTGTTATTTTAAATCCATTCTGCCAGTCTATATCTTTTTTTAGCAGGGCATTGAGATCATTTAGGCTTAGAGTTATTAACAATATGTAGAGTGCTGTTACATTCATCATGCTGGTGGTTCT